GTGTGCCTTCCCTGGGGCCGCCGTGTCAGGTCCGGCGGGGCAGAACCGGGGCCGTTAGCCGGCCCGCGGCTGTACGGGCGGTTCCGGCCGCGACTGCCAGTAGCGAGCACGGGGAGTGCCAGTCACGAGAGCGAAGTCCTGCCCCAGCAGCGCACGCTGCGTGGGTGAGCTGCAGGGGCCCCGTCCCGTTACCGCGGCAGGCACGTGCAAGGTGCCCGGCGCAGAAGCTGCCTGTAGTCTTGCCGTGGGTTCCAGGCGAACTGGAGCGCCACGTTGTACCGTGCCATGCCAGTTCGATAACGGATAAACGTAACCCTGGGACGGTAGCTCCCCCCTTCTGGACGGTTCACCTGGGTAATATTTTCTAGCATAAATTAATCAACAGTAGTTAGCAGTTTATCAAAGGAAAGCTGGGTAAGCTGTGAGCTAGTAGGAGAACCGACTGGTTGCCCGACTACTAGCCTTTCCTTGTTGCCAGATGCAGGACTGCATTAAAGGTGTTAATATCCCGAACACCTTCAGGATTAAAAGATTTCAGTAAGCCTTATTGCTTTCTGACACAAATAAGGGCACTTGTAAGAGATGGAGACAATTTGGGGGATCAGAGATTGTAAGGCATCTCAATGGGCTTTCCTAATATGTGGTATGATGATGGTAGAGACCTCCCAGTTTTTTTTTATTAACAGTAATCTGCAATGAAGTATTGGTAAAATTAATTCACTCTCAATTCAGGTTGCTCAAATACATTTGCATTTCAATTAACTTTTTAGAAGTAATTCGCTAGCAGTATCCTAGCTTGATAGCTAGTGAAAAATGAAGAATTTATATATTTTTAAATTGTAACAGGTCATATAGATAACAGGCATTTTAGCCCTTCCCACCAATGTCTTCTGCCAGTAACAATCCTGTCCATTTCAGGACTTACGTATCCACAGTCATAACTGTGACTTAAGAGTGAGCCTTCAGCTGGCAACTCAGGCAGGAGACAATAGCGGCTGTGTAAACTTGTCGGGCAGTGGAAGGGTGTTTTGATTAATGAAGGCAAAAAAATTGGGGTATGAGACCTTAGTCTGAGACACCAACAAGAAACTTGCAGTTACAGAGCATGCTACCTCAGAAGCTTGAGTCTCGCAGCTTACCAGGTCTGATGTCCAGTGCTGGAAATGCAGTATAAGACTTCTTCATGGACATGCACAGACCTAAACAGCTGTAGAAATCAATGCTGTTCTCCTTCAAGCCTCCAAGTAAAAGTCTGCTCAGCTCTAACTTTGTTGTTTCAGGCAAATGTAACTGAATTTATTGTATAACAATTTCCATTTCTCCTTTTTCACACTGCTCTGTACCTTGTTCTGTCTAATTCTTGCTCTCATTCTGATTGTTTTAGAAATAAAGTTGACTAAGAACTGGAACAAGATGGTATCTGTGCTCCAAAATGTCAAGGCAACAATGGCCTGGCGGAAACACCAGCTCCTAGCAGACTTCGATGAGAATGAGAGCCCTGTACCTGACAAATTCAAGAGAAGGGCTTCTTTGAGTTCTCTCAATACCATCCGCATGTCTCTAAGGAAGCGAGTACCATTAAAGCAAGTAGAGCTGAATTTTCATAAGAACCCAACTTGGGAAAGTCTGGAAGCAAGACAGAAGTGCCAAACTCTTCAGAGTATTAAAAGAACAGCAAAAAATGCTTTCGGAGCAGTGTCCCAGGTACTTTGCCTTTGCAGTGGAGCGTGGATCGAGTTTAGTTTTTGCTTCAACTTCAGTACTAAGATTTCTGGAGTCTGTACGGAATGCTGTATTCCAGAGAGTCTATTCTACACACTTGCACACCGTAATGGTTGTCTCACAGCTACTAACTAGTAAAATCTTTAATATCCTTGCTAAAGTATAGACAGGCAAATTATGGATCTGGCAGAACAGGGCGGAAGGTGAAAAGAAGAAATATGAGACGTAGTTTCATCAAAGCTTTTATTACTACATAAATGTTTTTCCCCTACTGTATTTCATCATGTATGGCAGAGCAGCCTTCACAAGGAGGAAGGTGGATAGAGACAACCATTGCCTGCAAAGAATTGTTTGAGAAATGTGTAGCCCTTTGGATTTTTTTTTTTACTCTGTTTCCTGTACCCATACAATTTATTAGCATGTTCTTCATTACAGTCAATCTAAATTTGGACTGACAAAAAATGCTAGATGGTAGCAGGGTACCAAACTCGAGCTTGCACTTCCCTTTGGTGGAGACCTCTGATTTTAACCGCATTAATTGTATGTTAGGGAGGCAGGCTCTTTGCTGCATAAGAGCAGCAGGAGCTCTGTTCCAATGCCTGCTGAAGTCCTTGACAAGTTCCAGGGATTGGTGGAGCAAATGATTCCTCCAACACAAATGGGTACAGAGGGTTGAGAAGCATTCATGCTAGACTAAACCTGATACGAGAATGAAAGCTAGGGATTCAGCTCAAATGTTCCTTGCCTAGAGTTTGGAACCAGAAAGACTAATTGAGTTCATTTAGCATAACATGTCTGTCTAATGCTTTTTTCAGAAAATACAGAAGTCTTGCCAAAGCCCAGTACACTCAACGGTGACCTTTCCAGCTGAATCCATCAGCAGAAGCTGTGCAACCAGTTCTACCAAGAAGAGAAGTACTACACCTCGAACCCCTTGCCATAAGAAGAGTGTTACTCCAGCAGCCAGTTCGAAAGGCACTCCAAGATCCAGCAGAAGAGCCTTGCCTGGGCCAACAAGGATGTCAGAATATAGAGAATGGAGGGGTTTCTCATCCTGGCTTGGTAAAGATGCTGTCTCTCTCCGGAGATCAAGAAGAGCAGCAGCACTGAAGAGCCCTTATTCATCACCTGCTCCTGCCAGCAGAAAGATGTAAGCCACATTCTTTTGTAAATCTTAAAAAAAAAAAAAAAAAAAGGAGTAATTACTGTTATTAGAGTATTTTGTAAGGTGAAAGGCAAGATATTAAGGTTGCTATCCTATTTCCCTGAAAGGGTGTGCTGTTCCAACAGTTAAGAAAGTAGTTACAGGTCCCTGTATAGGCAGGGACTGAGCACTGCATAAAGCTGAAACATGAAACAATTTTGTGCTGTGACAACAACTTTTTAAAAATCATTGTCCCACTGGGTAAGTTTACACCATGTTTCTCAGCACCACTCCCCATCTGACACTAAGGACATACCTGAGTTCTTTGCTGATGCCCTTCTGGTAAAGAAGAATGCTCTCAATGCATCTGACTCCTACTTAGCTCTAACTTTTCCAAAGTTGCTATATGTATTGCAAAGATACCTGGAATAGTTCTGCTTATGCTGAGCTCTTTGTAGAGAGATTCTTGCCTCAGAGATTTAACACAAATGAGATAAAGGGTTGTGAGCTAGGGAAATACTTCATAATGCACACATAGGTTTTTGTTTTGATCAAAGTCACACGAGAAATGTCAAAGCTAGAAGCTGAATCCAAGCCTTGTGAATTTGAACCCAGTGTTTGAATTGGAATATAGCGTCTTGGGGATGAATGGAGATGTTGAAGCTCCATTGGATGGTCAGTGGAATTACGAGCATGATTGCTACAGCCCTGAACTTCTTCGGGTAAAGTCTGGAGGTAACTAGAGTTGTTACTGCAGGGATAGAGGCTTGGGTAGTGACACCTAGTCAGTCTGTCCTGTTTGATCTTTAGTAATGACTGTTCTGTTTGCAGAGAGTTTGACTGTGAGTTGGAGCTGGTCTCCTCAGGGATTTGCCAATTGAAGCGTATCTCCCAGGCATTTGATGATGCCATTGTGCAACAGGAGAGGTAAATACCGCTAACTGTCCCTAAACTTTTAGCAACAGGTTACCTCCCACTCGGACATTGCCAATTGCAGGCTAAGTGATTCCTGTAACTCAGGATGAGGAATAGTTGCAGAACTTTCTCAGCTGTAATGTAGCAGAGCCTTTCTTTCTTCAACATACCTGTGCAGATTATATCTGCAGTTGGACTTGCAGCTTCTAAAACCTGTCAAATGCTCTCCTTGTCTTCAGGTTTCTTGCTGTGGAAGTCAGATTTTTCCCAGCAAGAGCCCACCTTTGACCTTGTGTGAGAACAGTACCTCCCTGCCTCTGTCTAAAAGAGGTGCCAATCCAGGCTTGGGTTCCTTGGGGGAGGAATCCCATTGCACTGACACTGTCATTGGTACCTGCACATTTATAAGAAAATCCTTTTATTAGGTAGCATTATGTTAACAAATAGTCCGTGGTACCCATAACTCAAAAATTTTGAGGATGCAGAGGCCTCTTATACAACATCTTGGTTAATCCATGAGGTGGTAGGCTGCTGTGTTTGTAAAGGTTATGTCATTCTGAATTAGACGTATTAAGACAGTAAAAACTAAAGGTCAGAAGTCTTGTCACAGGGCAATTACCTAAACCTCTTCCTCTCTTAGAACATTCGATGTCAAGCATTCAATAATTAAATGTCAGGCACCTAAAAACCTCTAGAGAGGGCTTAGCATTAAGTACTTTTATCTACAAAGAGGTAAGGGCTTAAAATCCTAAGTAATTCCAAAAATTCAATTTTTACCAATGGGTCAATTTCTAGGTAACTATAGGTTAAATCCTGTATTAAGTTAATGATAATACCCATTGAAAGTTCACTAAATCTCACTCCTAATATTCTCCCATCTGTTAGTGATATGACAGTTTCTCTCATTCGTAACTGAAGATAGTATCGACCAGGTAAAGTAGCTGTTCACTTACCTTGTCTATACCTGCATGCATCTGTGGAGAGAAAACCTGCTGTTGGGAGAGAGAAAGGCTTAACTCATGCTTTTTTAAAGTATTATTATGCAGAACCACAGGGTTCTTCCCTCATATTCACTGCAGCTGTCTCTGCTACAGCAGATCATTGTGCAGTTGTGAAACTTCACCTCTATGTTGTGGATTAGTGAAACCTTGTGGGTTCGCAATGAACCTTAAGTTGGGCTTCTATGCAAACAGCAGCTTTTCTTGCCAGAAAACTACCAGAAAACTACCGGTACTAATGTCTTTGTCATTCAACCTCAGTTCTCACTGATTACTAATGAAGATCACAAAGCATGACAGAACAAACTATTACCCTGAGATGTCTAATTTTACAGGCTGTCTTTTCCATCCCTAGCATTGTCTTAGCAGTTAAGATGATGCTATCACAGTAGCAGCAGTTGATACCTGTATTGCTGGCATTTTTAAACACAGCAATTGTACCTAAATGGATGGGAACAGGAATTCTTTGCTGTAAGTTTCTAAACATCACTTCTAGTGTCAATACATTGAACCATTACCAGGTAAATGCTTCTATTACCTTCACTGAGATCTGTACTGTGACATTAATATCTTCACCTGTTACGTTGGAATTGTTCCTTTTGTTAAAAGGAAAGTTACATCCTGAATACTATGTCCTATTTTAGCAACAAAGATAGGTGTAAGAAGTTGATTGCTGTAATGTTTCAGGAAAAATGAGAGCAGTTTCAAATGCTCGACTGAAGCTTTAAACAGTGATGTGTACTGCTTCCACTAAGCAGTTTGGTCCAGTTCTCCTGCATGTGTAGATGCATACAACATGCTCTGTCACTGGCTGTGTTGTAGGTTGCCTGCTGGAATAACTGTGAAATAAACTTTTTTGGAGGTGCCCTTACAGTCTTGCATATGACTTTCTGTTCTGGTATTCAATTGCCGTGAGTTTTAGTGTTATAGCTCCCTTTTCATCTTTTCCATGATGAAACAAACCTTGATCTCAAACTGTTTCTAGTTGCCAGCTCCACGCATTGTTCTAATGTTTTTCATTTTAATGAGTTAATTACATCACAAGAAATGCTCCTGTTGCTAGTTAAAGTATTGCAGTACTTAATTTGTGTACTGCCATTTATGCTCACTGAAGGTAACAAAATATTTTCTTGCTAGTGTTTAAAACTGTTATACAGTGAAAGTGTACAGATCCCAGACTTGTTCCTTGCTCCCATCTAACAGTTTTCCAGCAATTTGCCTGACAACCAGTTAATTAACCTTACTGACTTCATGCTGCTAATAGCAGTCTTGTTCTTCTGCAGGCAACACGCAATATCAAACTACTACTATGTAATGGCACAAAACTTACAGTCTGCGCGTCGATCTTGGAAACTTTCTCAAGCTATCGGGAGGCGAGCAAAGAAACTCCATCGAGCACTTGGTACCTAGACAGAGATGGCTGTAACTATTGTTAGTTTATGAGTGTATATATAAAGGAGCACTTATAAAAGGGTGCACTCTATATATTGAACAAGCCATTACATTTTATAATCTTTCTTGACATAGCAGTTCAGGACTTCCCTTGCTTTCTCTTTTCAAGTGAACAAGAGAGCCAAAATTGTACTACAGTGTATTATCTCCTGCTGAGATGAGGGACCATCTTGCATTTGACTTTCATAAGGCAGTAAATACTTTGAAACTTCTGTTGAACTGACCAGTAGGAATGGCCAGAGCAAGGGCCACAGACTTATGAAGGGTGATCGTAGGTAACGGTAGTATTTAGGCTGGTATCTGATCGCCATGAGTTTTAGTATGAGTACTTTGCATAGTAAAAGTACTGGTCCATTATTTTGAAAACCTAGTAATTTTTTTCTGTATATGAACAAACCAAAAGTTTAAGCATCGTGTTTAACTGGAAGTTAATGAAACGGTAGTGGGTGGTTTGAGTTCTGACCAGAACTGCCATTCCAAGGCAATGGGTTTCTGTGAAGTTCACTCATGCCACAGGAGAGGAGCCACATTAGGACTTGTAATTCATGGCCTTAAGGATTGCTATTAGATTAGCCTAACTAATCCTATTTTAAGTAGTTGGGTTCCAGACAAATCAGAGTAACTTTGTCATTTCTTGCTGCTGCTTCAAATAGCATCTTGGCAGTTGAGTTAAACATTGCTTTTATACATCTGTCCTTAAATATGGGAAGCAGTCATGCTCAGTTCTGATGTACGTGTTAAGTACCGATTTTAAACTTGCGCCCGATTTTTCTTTTTTCTTGTCAAGCTAGACTGTTTTAAAATATTGAAACAGTTAATGAGGCCTGGAAACATGACTTCCAGGCTTTCGGATGACTGAGAGCTTTAGCTTGTGGTATTTCTTGATGTAGTTTTTGTGTGTGTGTGTTCTGTGTTGTGTTTTTTTTTTTAACCACCTTTCTATATGGAACAGTAGCTTGAAGTTATTCTTTGCATGTACTAAAACTACTTCTATAAAGCTTTCACAAAGATGGTGTCTCATTACTGAAATATTTTATATGACTTTTCAAAAGCAAGGAGGGTTGGAGTTTTGTGAAAAGTCAACCTCCAATCTAAGTATTATTTTTGATAGTCAGATGTATTAAACAGCCTCTATTTATACTGTTTCCACTGGCTACTAGGACATGTCTAATGATGTTAGATCATCAATGATGATCTAATACTTCCAACATCACTGGTAAGAAAAATCAGTGACACTGTTTGCTTAAAGTACGGAAGGTTTTATTTAAGTGACTAATCTGTTATAAGATTTTAAAAACCAGCTCACATCAAAATCTATACCAGTTGTAGAAATCTTACTCCTTATTTCATATTAAGAAATTCATTATTGTACATTTTTGAATCTTTACAAGGCAGCCATAAGAAATATAAACATTTGTCACCAGATAGAACCTTCTCACTGACAAACAATATTTAAAAGTATGCACTTAATAAAACTATAGACTGAAAGAACATGTACAATTTCAAGTTTCCTTGTATGAATTCAGGTGTAAGTGGACTGCCCCCTTCCCTCCCCCACATAGAAAAATAAGTTATGCAGAAGGCTTGGGGTTCTGTGAGAGGACTGCCATTCTGGGCCCTACACTAGTCCTCCCAGAATAGCTTTATCTTTAAAGCTATTCTGTAATAGCTTCTGTAATCTGTAAATTATGTTTCAATATTGTAATCTCTGGTATACCATCTCGCAGCACATCACAGTAAACCTGCTTTTCTTTCTCTTCCTCCCCATAAGTTCTGTACATCCTTACAAATGAGAAATGAACTGTCAAATTTGTTTCATGTTCCCCCATCCCCCACAATTATATCCAGTTTCAAAGGTAGCTTATTGAGATAAATACAAATACGGGGTAAACTGTAATCCCCTTAC